TAGTTTCCAACAGCCAGCCCAGACTTCCATTTTAAACAGCCGCAGTCTGACGACCAAAATGCTTTACTAGGCATGTCAGCTCGAACTTTATCTGTTTTAACCTACATCTACAAACTCGACGACTTGTCACGTAGTTTTCGTCTGCGATCGAGCTCAGCGTTTTTTCGGCACGAGAGTAGCATGGATTCTTGAATTGCTGCCAAGTCGCGATGATCACTGTATGTGGACAGACGAATGGTATGTCTTCTAAACTGACAGATTAAACATACCTGATATGACTATACCAGGTATTTTGACTGATAAGGGGTGTTTGCAATTATTCCAATAATCAGTTTGGGCGTGCATCAAGTAGAACGTAGAGACTATCACGTCAACAATAAAAAAAGAGAGGGGGCACGCCAACCCACCATAATTTTCTTCTACTTTTACATTTTTCTATAATTTCAATATTTATTTTGACTGAAATATTATCTATTACTTACTGTTCTCAAATTTTTTTTTATAATAATAGAAAAAGTTAAAAGTGCGACAAAACTGGATATTTCACTGACATTGAATAATTTCACATGAAACAATCCGAGTTAGGGACGGACCTCTACATGTTTCGAGGGGTGGTCAGACCAAGGACTTATTATTTGTGGATAAATTTTCATGTTGAGTACTAGTAGAATTTATTCTTTCTGTTTCAAGATTTATCTTTACCCGCAAAAAAAAAAAAATTGGTCCAATACTTTGAATCTAATTATTCTTAGTTTAGAAAAGAAAATACATATCGCATGGTTTTATATTATAGAAGATGGTATACATTGACTTTGGCTTTCAAATGGCTATAACCTTAATATCAACGAAAGCGTAGAAAGAACCGTCGTATGCTGGGGAATAAGAAGCGTGCAATAGACAATATTTAACGTGAATTACAAATTCGAGCGTCGAGCCTTGTTCGAATGGGGGCGATGGTGACGTATACAACACTTGTAAATTTCCGAATTCTTGGTAAAGAAGAAAGTTTATTCTTTTTTTACCGCAAGCGGGCACATGCGGTGGGATCATTACACTTCCTGTCTATCAGAACGTTATCTTCTAATTTATTCGGTTATTTAACCCCTCAACTCAGTTTGAGATTATTTCTCACAGCTGACAAGCGGAAAGTCGCATCACCACACGTGTTTTCGTATTATTCAAAGTAATATACATCACTGTTTTATAGTAACAACAATATTTTCTTTTCTTTGCATATGAATTACTCCGAGACCAATAGATAGTAAACGAGTATCGTTCTATATTTCCACTAATCAATTAATCAACTTGAAATTACGGCGACTCTGGTATCCTCGTAAAACTCATCCTTGAAAAGCGGCAACATTTGTAAATTCAACTTAACGTTAACATTACACTTTTTTCTTTCCATTGGAAAACCACGACATTTCTGTCATATTTTCTTTAGATTTGTTTTTCCATTTTTCAAATAATGTGTTAGTACTTGTTGGCACTGTAGACATTTAATTTAGATAGTTCTGTGCAAAATAGGGCAACTGAGCGAGTTCAAGCAATTGATTCACTAAATGCAATTACATCAATGTAGCCGCCATATTGATTCTGACCACGCCGTACCCGATTTCCGAATACGAATGACTAGAGTCCCTTTATACAGAGAGTCTGTATAAAGGGACTCGACGAATGACGTATTTGCAGCGCCCTCACACGACAGTATGAAACGGTTTGAGAGAACTCGGAAAGGTCTCCGATAGAGGGACTGCGTTTACGTAAGCTACGCGACGACAAACTCACATTCCAGTTATTGTTACCAAATATAAATTCCCGGGTCTCCTTAAACATTTTGAAGTCACTGTACATATTTATTGTACAGAGTAACCGGAAAAACTGATTGTATGTCTGGTTACCGTCGCAGAATTCATTTAAAGGAAAACATCAATCTAAGCAACATAATGAACTCTAAAGAAAAAGGCCCACAAATGTAGGAGAATGCAGTTTACAATTTTTTTATATCACTTTTCATTCTCTAGATATTCAACTTTATATCATTATTATGTAGTCAGCCATCTTGAATCTCAAGCAAAGGATTATGGTTAAAGTATGACATCATAGAATCTGTTGTCAACAATAGACCATTTCCCGTACACTGCGAGAATCACGCGTTATGCGTGAAATCGAACGTAAAAACAGGACAAACAAAGGTCATAGCGTCGTAGTGGCGTCAAACATCGCGTGGGATTCGACAAACGCGAATGTATTTTGGGGACATTTCCATGGTTAATAATGTGCTGTCCACATTTGATGATGGGCAATTCGATTAAGTAAGGGTCTTCGGAAGCAATATTCCTCTGTCGAAGATCGGCCGGTCAATGTAAGCTACGAAATAAGGAAATTCGAGTTCAAAATCAAATCGTTCGATTTTTGCGGCAGACGTTCGTCGCGCGTCTTTCATGCATCTCACGAGATCTCGCAATTTTACGGAAAATCACCTATTGAGAACATTATTTCATCCATAACATGAGAAATACTGATGCGAATTAGTTCCAATTTTTGTTGTGCATATTACTCATGTATATAATTATAGTAGTGGAAATATCACAAATACACATGAAGTGAAGATATTGCTGAAAACGTTAAAAAAAAAAAAATCAATCTTTTAGTCGTGAAATATAAAATGACAATTTTGTGTCCCCTTTTTGTGGTCAACTTGTGATATATCACCTATATAACCTACTCACATTGGTAAATTGTATACAATATAAGGAAATTTGAGAATTTGGTAGAAAAACATAAAAATAAATATTTTCAGTTCTGTTTCCATGACAACTATTTTATAAACATGGATGACACCAGTACATGTATGATACCAATCTCTAAACTTTCAGCCAATTTGAAGTTCAACTTTTGAAGTTCAAGCTGAAATCATTTTCTCAATTTCTGACAATAGATTCTATGATGTCATACTTTACCCATAATCCTTTGCTTGAAAATCAATATGGCTGACTACATAACACTGATGAAAAGTTGAATATCTAGAGAATGAAAATTGATATAAAAAAACTGTAAATTCCATTCTCCTACATTTGTGGAGCTTTTTCTTCAGGGGTCATCATGTTGTTTGAATTGATGTTTCCTTCAATAGCCAAACTTGAACGGGTACAAATTACATTTATCAAATATTTAGGCACGAGTTCAAATATTATTCCACTCTAATATATCGATTTATGCAAACAACCATGCATGTATTTCTACACTTGAATATTGTAGACGTGTTCTTGGGCAACTATTTTTATCAGTGTCAAAATGTAATAACATATATACGACTCATCCTCTATCTTTGGAAAACATTTCTTGTTATGCTCATGAGAGGATTCACAGAAAGAACACCTATTTTGAATCTGTCATTTCTACTAATATTCTTATATTGGCTTTGGGAATTCTAATTTAAAAGTAGGCTTCTTGCATTAAAGTACCATCAGAACCAGCACCATAATCGCAGTAATGCATTCAAAATGGATCCCATACAGCGTGTATGTAAAATAAATTGTTTATACTAAGTTATTCGACAACTGTGACATACATGTGACATACATGTGACAATGTATGATTTTTTTTCTAATTTAATATTGTAAATCTTATTTCTTAAACTTTTCAGTAATGTAATTTTTAAAAGTTTTGACGCTCCGCTCAAAAATCTGGTCCCCAAATGAGAGACTTATGCCTTTGAATTGTTTATTGAGCTTTATATTCATAAATGAGCAAGGCTTACCGACTCGTGACCTCGATGTGGTTCGTAACCAGTCTTGTGATTGGTTGTTGACAAAATGCTGAACAGGCCACGCCTCCAACTGTGCCGTGCGTTCGGGCAAACCGTTAGGAATTCCTAAATGGAGTCAATTTGTGTAGTTTTCTTGATTTATTCTGCAGATATCGGTAAAATGTAGGTAAGGCTTTGGCGAAATTTGAAGGAGCAACTAATATTCTTCAACCTGGTATTTGTTTTTAGATTTTATTTTTCACTCTTTTCGCCTGTTTTTTGGAGTTTAAAAAATGTGAGCTGGCTGGAGCCTTCATCCCTTGTCTATAGAGACTGCGTACTACAGTTGATTATAGTTCCTGGTCTCCCTGTGATTACACTTCAAAATATAATATCTTGTACGGGCAGTTGAAGTTAGGTTAGTGCTGGTGTACGCATGCGCATTCTGTGTATTGTGTCTTACGCGTCCACTTCGTTTTGCTATAGCAGGATTCATTGCGGCGTTGGATGGGCATCCGGTACTAATGTAAATAAAGCCCATTCTGAAAATGCCGTAGATCCAGGGCTATACGAGGGGGCGGAGCTACGTCACGGACGTTCCACGTTGCTAAGACGCGCACCACTGTACCACGTATTTCTAAGGGCTCTGTGCGCGCTGCTGTGGAACGCCGGTCCAGCCGGTGAAAACTCGAGAAAACAACACAAACTCAACTTTGAAGTAATCCTGAACAACCAAATTCATATATGTTACACACGTAGGGCTAATCATGTTACACTGTTCAGGGGACTCTCAACAACCATCGCAAAGTACCGTTTTCTGCGAGTTTTTGGTCTTTGTTTTCACCGCGAGGGTTGCCAGGCGGTAGAAAATGCCCGGATGTCCGCCCCGAGGATACACGAAACTGTTTTAAACTACCACGAGGGCAGAGAACTATGATAAACTGAAAAAAACTAAAAAATGGCAAAAACAAATATAGAATATTGATGCATTCTCGAATTTATAATTAATTTGTGTGGGAATTATTTTCTTTCAATTGAAATCATTCCTATTTTTACCTTAACTTTGCTGTATTAAGATACAATGGAAATTGCTCGCATGGTTAGGACATGTGATTTATACATTCTTATTGACACTACCCGGATGTATGACCTCTATGCATAATGCACATAGTCTGACCTTTTAAACGGAAGTGAGAGCGCCACCAGTGTTGGAAGTGTGCAGACATATCCAACACAGCGAAGGCATGGGTTCTGAATATACGAGTATTGTTTTATTCATTAAGGTATTTGTATATATAATCACTTTGAAGTCATCTTAGATTGTCTTCAACAACGGTACCTGAAAATAAAACATTATAGATGTTAATCTCTTGTTTATCGAATGTACTGGTTAGTTAGCACGTGTTTGAATTTTATGTACTGTAAAATACTTTATTTTAGCTGGAATTAATTTTCGCTGAAAAAACTTCGGGTGTTTTGTATGGAATTTATTTTCACTGAAAATAGCGAAAATTAATGATTCTAAGCGAAAATTTAAATAACAACGATTGGAACACATAATGACCAGCACTTTGAGCAGAAAAGTCATCTATCATTTACTGTTCATAATCAAATGTCAGTAACACCTCAGAAATGTGTGGTTTGACAACAATGAAAAAAAAGAAGAAAAAAAAGAGAAAAAACAAAGAGTTCTGATTACACGTGAACGTGACGCTTTCAAGTGGCAAATATTTTATTTGCTTCAAGAGGACATTTTCCCCACTTTTTACGACAAGGTTTCCTCGTCTGATTTGGTGAGCACAAATGTTGCGCACCTTTTATCTATAAAAAAAACCCGTCAGCATGTAGTTATTTTTGAACCTAATAGCGCCACTTACCGGTTCACAGAACTTTGGCTTTACACACAAAATAATATTCGTTCAAACAGTCTTCATCTTCCCATGTCTGATCACCTGTGTGTAGTCAATGACGTACGTTATTACATTATGACGTCACATGTAACCCTAGATTAATAGGTGATTTACCGTTCACTGCGAGATCTCGCGTTATGCGTGAAAAGCGTGGATCTATCGGCTGCTGTAATAATTGAAGAATTTGATTTTGAACATGACTATTTTTTCAATGTTCAAATGCTGTGCTTCTACGGGGGAGCATGATGTTTGGATACACTTACTTCAGAAAAAATGACGATTAAATGTATAGCACATTATTAAGCCCGGAGATACCCAATTGATACTTTTGACTTTATCAAATGCGACGTTTTGACGCCACTACGACGCCGTGATATTTGTTTGTCCAGTTTTTACGTTCGATTTCACGCGCAACGCGGGATCTCACAGTGCGCAGAAAATAGTTTATTGTTACATACAACATTGTATCTGACCACCTGTGTGTATTAAAAGAAGTACGCTATCACACTGTGACTTCACGTGAAGCCCTCGTTTAACACGTTAAAGGGCGGTAGTCGTCGCGTCACGCATGCTCGAGATATATGGGTCTCATATAAACAAAGATGGCAAATTTGACTGTTGCGCAGATCAACGAGTACAAACTGGGACGCCACGAAGCTTTAATTAGTTTTTTTAGGTGTTTGGAAGGTATCAAAGGAGTCACCGGCGGTAATTAGTGCAATTCGCACACAGGTCAAACCTCATACTTGTGATTCCCATTTGAAAAGCGCATTGGATTGCGGGAAAATCAATGTTTATCAAAACAATGGTCGCACATGCGCAGCGCGACGACTGCCGCGCTTTAATACAATAATGGCATAATGTATGTGCAAGGGAAGACACTAGATGCGTCACCTACCACTGCCTACAACAGCCTCGTTCTTTTGCATAGCACACGAAACATCCCCATCCAATAATCCCGAGGATTCTCCATCTGGTTGTCCTTCTTCCCAATTCGTGTACACTAAATCAGTTCCGTCACTCCATTGCCAAGTTAATGAATCATCCTGAATATGTAAATATACGTATTAATTAATTCCATTCAAATGTTTTGTTTTGCTATTTGATTCAAGATGTCCAACTGACTTATTTCTAGAAGTGTTCGCTTTGGCTGAACAAAACGTGTATTTCAAAGTATCACCACATTTGTAGCATGCTGAATCTCAGACAACCGGGTGAATGCACCGGGTTTCATGAAGGCGTGAAATTCAAAATGGCGATCGAAAATTAAACAGCTTGACTAATCGCAACCCTTGGCGGATGAATACAACTCGTATTATATTGCACTGAGGTCAGTTTAACCTTTAACTCTGCATTCGCATTTTAAAGTTCTGTGACAAACGACAAAGATATTACTAAATTTATTTCACAAACAAATTTAGTGGGATTTATCTTTTCCGTTCATGGAGTAAATCGGTCAATAATTAAAAAAAACATGCAAAAATTCATGGGCATTTGATTTGAATTAACACAATGATATCTCGTTTATCTGAAGCCATCAACAAATGACACGTATCCTTCAGCGATAAAAACCCTACCCACAAATCCTGGCATGTATTTTGAATATCAATTTGTTCAAGTTTATCTTTCCCGGGACCGCCAATATCTGCCCATTTTCATGCGTTTTATCTATAATCAATAGATTTTGAACATAATTTTACATCAACATTTTAACCAAATATAACTTTTGGCTGCGGTAGGAGATGGGACTTTACCTTCTTATTAAACCCTATCCACAAATCCCAGTCAGATGAACACGCGCCGGCCACAAACTCATTTTCATCAAGAGTGTGTATCGACGCTAAGTAACCAAAGTGATTTTTGCATATATAATCAGCGTGCTCCCACGTAGTAGCGGGTTGCATACACCCGTAACAGTGTCCGAGGTATTCGGACCACCCATCAAGGCACGCTGATTTCACTGAATACAAGAAGAGAAAATAAATTATTCAGGTTATTGATTATTCGTTTCGTAACTATAGATGCATACCAAGAAATATCGCGAGATAAACTCATGTACACACCTAATACAGGTGATGCCATTGCACCAATTAAGATGAACAACATAACTTGTCTCGTCATCTTGGCGTTCTGCAAGAGACATGAAATGGTTATAGTGCAAATAATTTGAGTCGCATATACAATTTAACACAAACAAACAAACATTTGCACCTGTCGTTGTAGCAGCGATGTTTGACATGCTAAGTTAGTCATTTTGTTTTAAAGAAAATTTGTAAATTTGTAAAGTAGAGCAAATCATTCAATAGAATCAATTAATACAGCTCAACATATATTGTAATAAATATTTCAAATGAATTTAACTAGTCGACTGAGAACGTCACATAAATTACTTTTTAGTCACACAAACTGCTGAACAAGGAATTTCCAATATGTCTAGAAACTGTTCAATTTACAATAACATTCAATTTGTTTACCATATATACATACACTTGGCACCACCAATGTCATTGGTTTAATATTACTTGTTTCAAACATTTCGGAGAATTTGACAAGAATACAGCCGAGGACCCTTTAACCATATTATTCTACACATATACCACCGTGTCCTAAAGTTCAAACTGTTTGCATAGATCTGAAGTCAATGGAATAATCCTACCTTCGAGTTCAATATGGTAAAATTGGAAGAAATTAACAACTGCGTGTGAATGATGGAATAGATATTTTTTTTATTTTTGTCACCATATCTGTATCTCTATCAAACATGTCAGTGACACGTTGTGGAATAGCAAACATTTCCCACGAATCGTGCAAATGGTGCCGCCAACGTTTCACGTCGATATCATATATATCAGTCAACGTTGTTGGCTACCACTAAAAATAGTAACTCCTGCCAAAGCGGAGGGTCATTCAGCTGACTTGTTCAGTGACTTTAATGGTATCGTGGTGTTGAATATATATTCTTATATTCTTTTTTGAAATGCATTTCTGCTGCGATTTAGTCAAAATTGTAATGGGATATTTTATCAGTTTTCTTTGATACAATCTCTGACAAATTACCGCACACCAAATCCATTCGTCTTGTGACGTTCATCTGGGGATGAGAGAACATCCCGTCGCCAATAATAGAGCTAGCAAATAATATTCTACTCAAACATCGCTCGGCTCAAACAAAGAAAAGTGTTTTATCTATTTTACCAACACGACAATCTCAAAATAAATCGAATAATTGTATATTGATGTACTGTGAAAATATAAAATCAAGGGAGAACAAAAATACAACAACAGCAAACGTCTACATGATTCTGTAGCATTTGAATCACCTGCCAGTTGACAACTATGGGCATGCAATTTATTATTCAAGTGGGTGGACTTTTGTACTGACATGCCTCACACGATTTGGTGGTTTTTCAAAGGCTAAAGGTCAAGACATGCAAATTTATAGTGGGCGAACAGGAATAGTAGTGAAAATGTTCTGGAGTCTATTTTCGGTAGTGTAGCAGAGAAAACATACGAAGGTAGATGGACTATTGAATTCATTCAAAATCTTAAAGGCTGTCTTAAATTGAAAATTATAGAAGCCTTCATTCAAAAGAAAAGAATTTAAATAAAGGAGGAAAAACAAGTTTCTAGCATGGGATTTGTTTGATCTATAAATGATCCTCTACACTATGGAGTTTTTTTTTTCACTGTGAGATACCCCAAAATAGTTGCCATTCAGTCATTTTGAAATAAATCTAAATCTCCGTAAAAATATCCATATTACATCAAAACCGTTCTGTAAAAATACTTACTGAAGAAAGCTGAACACACTGTGTGCTGTTGGGTTGGTGTAGAAAGTCGGCTTTTTTTTTTTTTTTTTTTTTTTTACAAAGAATTTGATTTTATGACTCATAAATTAGAAAATCTGGCGTGACCACAGGGAGCCCAGGAACTACAATCAACTGAACGCAGTCCATATGAGCATGAGGGGGGGGGGTATGAAGGCTCTAGAAAGCTCACATTCTTTAAATTGAAAAAAAAAAAAAAACAGTCAAAAAGAATGAAAAATAAAATTATTAAAAATGTACAGCTTGAAGAATATTGGTTGCTCTTTCAAATTTCGCCAAAACCTTGCCTATATTTTACCGATATCTACAGAATAAATCAACAAAACTACACAATTTGACTACATTTACGAACAATTAGCGGTTACACAGAAAGCAATGCACAGTTGGAGGCGTGGCCTGTTCAAAATGTGTCAAGAACCAATCACAAGACTGGTTACGAACCACTGCGAGTTCACGACACGGTTAGCCTCGCTCAAGAACAACAGTTTGAAATTACGTTTGCCGCTATAATATTTCATACTTGCCAGGCTATACTTGCATCACTACAATTATAAAACTGTTTACGAAAACAATAAAGCAAATAAATTCAAAAACCTTCTCGGTAGAACTATGAAGTCATTCAATTATTTACGACAAACGAGGGTACAGTCACCTGTAGTGCGTTTGTCTTACTGTCCGATTTTGGCTAAATTCGCGCTCCGCCGCCTCTTTACACTAGTTTTTATGCACGGAATTTGATACCTTTTTTTGCCAACAGCATGAAAAGAAACCCCAAACAGATAACACTTCAGATGGGAATCTGTCGCACTCACTTTCACACTGTAACACTTTTCAGCAAAAAGTGATGTAACCTGGTAACATGTAGATATGTTCCTTAGATTCATGTGATAGTATAGTTGTATATTTATAATTGTGTTGCAATTAGCAACAAATAAAACCCCAAAATGAATATATTTTAGATGACCATAATATTTATATTTAAACTATCTCCAATATTTTGTTGAATGTGACTTTTATAGTATCTTGCTTGTACTCACCGACATTTACAGTACCTTGCTAGCAGTCGCCGCCTCTGAAGACATTTACAATACACTGCTGTAACTCGCCACTACGGACAGGGAAATGAAATCACAAAATGGATGAAAACGGAGAACCTAGGGGGTGCCAAGAGAAAAGCTGAGAACAGAAGTTTGTGGCGCAGTATTGTTGTTAACTTTCAAATCGAAGAAGGCACTGGATGATGATGATATAACGAAACAATACATTGGCCAGAGGAAACGCCAACACAGGTCAACTGAAACAAACTAAAACCAATGATGATCGTCACTGCATGGCGTCACAGTTCACTCACCCAGATAAACATAATTATCAGTGAAAAGCGGACACTATGAATGAAATATATCACTGAATCGACGACAGTGTGCCTGTTGCTGACACAATTTCCTGCATTTATGAAATGAGACGTTCAAAATGATAGCCATCGCCAA